GCAGAGACGGAAGCTGAGGTGGTTTGTTGTAGATTTAATAAGGAGAAGTGGCAACAGAAGCATAAATCCAAAAACTAACTGATCAAGGAACACAGGAACCAGAACAAAGGGTAGACACATAGGTTAAGGTGGGAATGAATAAATGAAGAGAATTCAGCAAACAGTAACTGCAGAGAAGGAGTATAAATGCCAAACAGAGCAAAGAATGTAGTAATTAACTGATTGGAAGCAGGTGTGGACAGAAGGATCTAGAAGGGAGCTAGGGGAAAGGAGACTGACACAAGAGGGCAGCAGAGAGTAAACAAGAAATACATAAGAACTCAAATAAAACCAGAAAAACAACTAGAATGACAAAAATGGAAATGAACCCAATTAGCTAGAAAACTCAGAATAACATAAATCAATGTGTAACTAAAAACTCAAAAAGAAAAGTGAAAGTGTCATTATTCTGCCCTTTAAAGAAATGGTAGAATAATGACACAAGGTTAGTAAAATGAAACACTCTTTTCTATTGCGTAAACAAAAATGTTATGGTGATATAAAAAACAATAACAGACATCATAGCATTTAATTCTTGAAGGACTCTTTCCTTTCTAGCTTATTCAAAAAATATCTTTGTTTTGGATTTCTGGCCAACTCTGAAGAAGATTAAAAAGAGGTTTATGAGGCACTAAACTGAAGTACACCCACCTTAAACTGCTCTTAATCTTTTTTTATTACTTTTCACCTGTAAAGAAAACAGCATAAATATTCAGAAGAGCTGCTTATGCTGAGATTGTGGTGCATGTGAGTCTGAGGCTCACGCAGGGAACAAACTGCTGTGTCACAAGTGAAAACCTCAAAGGAAAATTGAAGCTCCATAATGGAAGCATAATGGGCTTAGCGTCAGAGTCTTGCAGACAACAAGGAAAGAAAGTAAGACTGCCGTCAACATCTCTTACCTCTATCCATTCTAACAGAGTTCAGGGAACAACACTGAGACCAAAACAAGCTTCAACAGGAGCAGCAACAGCCTAATGGCCGCATGTGGATAGAATCTTTAACTACTGAAATGGTCTCCTCTCCTCTTTGTGGGATTGTAGATCATCACATCTCAGCCTTGCTTTGAATAATCAAAAACATTGATCTCAGCCTGTGTAGGGTTTATGGTAAAATAAAATTCTGAGTGCAGATGTACTAATCTTATCTCAAGACTGAGAATACTTTGGTTGAATGTCTGAAATGTAGACACTGAGACAATAAAAAAAAAACAACCCCATTTAGTTCTTCCAGGGTGTTTGCATAGAAGTATAGTCTAGACATGTTGACCCCAGATTAATAAGAAAAGCTATGCTTACATGACAGGAACTATATGACTATAACAGATGACTACTTTGGAGCCATTCCACAATGAAGAGGTGTTAAGATGTTATACAGAGAAAGAAAATGAGGGTGCAGGAGGAGGGACCAGCTGCAGGAACCATTTAAGTGAGGAATGCCAGTGGTTCCAAGACTATAGGGAAACATTCCAAATGTATCTATAAATAAATATTCGATCAAGTGATTGCTTAAAAATTTTGCCTGGTCTTTTTCAAGTGATCTCCATTCTCTCTAAACATTTTTAAATCTTTTTCAGTAGGAGGAAAAATAAGTAATGGAGTTAATTATAAATACCTAAAAAGTGTACTTAAGTACAGTGACAAAGTATTTGTTCTTCCTTACTTGACACCTCTGGGGTGGACTGACATCATATTGAACCTCTATGGATTAGGAATGGGACGTCACTTAGGCTCATATGTGAGTCAAGCAGGTGAGAGAATACTTTTTGCAACATAGTGTATGTGATGGAGCTCTTATAGAAAATGTCTGCCCTTGTTTATTTGCAAGAATTCACATTAGATGGTTATACCTTTATGGTCACTTTACATCATTCCATATTGTTGGATAAATTGAGATCCAAATTTTGAAGTTGCCATTTAATATGCTGGGGACTTTATCAAGCACTGATGCTCAATGTATTGCTGTTAAGCAAACCTCAAACCCAGCCTTGAAACTTTTCAAATTAAAATCAAGCTTTCTTCCAGGATTGCCTTGTCTTTAATGGAATTTTTACCTGGCAATTCCTAAAGAAAATGGTTTGCAGAAATGTCTGTCTTCCAGTAAAATATATATAAGAATTTCAGGCAGCTTTGGAAGAATGTTTAAGAAGAAGGTGGTGGACAGATTTCTCACCAACAACACTATACAAACCAGTCCAATTCAGTTCATTCCCGGGCTGAGGAACCAGCAGCTTCCGACCAGACATTTTGTCGGTTATCTAACACCTTGAGTCGTAGCAGATTTTCATTGACACTGGGCAGAGAGGGAGGGGGTTGAGAACAGGGTCAGAGGGAACTTGTGTGGTAGATAGTAACGGATTAAGCTTTGTCTCAACTGCTGTGCAGAAAATCTGCTCTAGGATCTTCATGAATGTGTAGTTAAAAATCCGGGTCAAGGTTTAGTGTATTTTTAACTGTTCTTATATGAGTGTGTATTGAGCTGAGGCTTGACAACAAGTAAAGCAGATTTAAACATGACCATGTGTTGGTCATGTTTGGAGAACCTCCAGATATGCTCTTCTATGACATCATAGTCTAGAGGCAGAGTTGAAAACATACTCAGCAGTGCCTTGTGTGTTTGTTCTCTATATGAATTGGTTATCTTTTTAGCTGTGTAATTTATCATAGTTAAATATAGTTGACCAAACTTAGGCAGCATGCAGTTTTCTGTATATTTATGGTAGATCTTCAAAGTATAGAAAGCAATGTTAAATTGAGTTATGAACATGGGCGTAGGTTTGCATAGGGACGATAGGGACATGTCCCTACCAAAATTTTAGACCGACCTACATTGTCCCTACCAATAATTCGATGTGAACAACATGTGTATAATTTGTTGCAGCAGTGTCTTCTTTTCCTCTAACAGCTCCTCTGCCTGGTAGCTGCAGCTGCCTGGTCTTTCCTGTCCCTTTCACATAGCAGCTCATGTAACTTTGCTGCCCTGTTTAACCCCACACTCTGACTTTTCTGCCTTAAGCTCCACCTTTTCTCTTTCTGATTGTCTGTTTTTTAGTCTGTATGTGTGCGTGCGTGCTTCCAGCATGAAATAAAAAAATATGGCGGTTACTAAAAATTAATATTAGGCTACGAAACTCTTATATTAAAAACTAAATATTATCAACACTAAAACAGGCAAAAACTTCTGATTGTAGTTCTGTAAATAAGCAGGAGAGAGTTTTGATTTGTGGAACCAACGTTGGGATTTCTTTTCTAAAACTAAATATTCTGAGTCAGACAGGAGTTCTGAAAACTGCTGTTAAAATGAACAAGCAAAGACTATAAGTTATCAACATTTCTGATTCCCTTTTACCAATATTTCTTTGCTATTACTGTTTTTATTTTTGACGGCAGGTCAGGTATAAATAACAGTTATTTCTTTTGTAGAACATAACAACATGAAAAGAATGCTAAAGATCTGCTATTTTTTGTTTTCCACATAAAGATAGTTCTATTTAATTAAATTAGAATTAGAAGTAGGATAAAGACAAACATAGGAACTCTATTTACATTGATTCTATTTTTCTAGATTTTCACACGGTCTATAAACATTAATGTCTGGTAAAAATGTTTGAACCTGGCTTTTTATTTTGGATACTATTATATTACAGATAAGATAGTGTTATATTGTCTTTTATAATTGTTAAAAGTGTTTTTATATTTGATTAAACTTAGGCTCATTCTTAGTATTGTGCTTTGTAGATGATGCCACTAAAAAAAGAAAATATAAGAAGCTATTTTAACAGTCAGACATTAAGCAATATAGGATGATGATAAAAAGTTGTGTTACATTTAATCCTTTACTTTTAAAAATGCACTTGTATAATAGAAACATTATATGATTGTAGGAAACAGATATAATGATGCAGGGCAGCCTCAGGGTGAAGCAGCTGCCCTTCAGTGCTGTATTATGGAAGAAATGTGTTTGGAAAGTTACCATAAAATTAGAGCTGCAACTAATGATTATTTTGCAAATTGATTAATCTGTTGATTATTTTTTAAATGAATCGATTAATAATCAGATAGCCAAAGGTTCCTTAAAGAAGATTTTTTACGAAATGAAACCAGATGAAACAGAAAAAAAATTCTATTGAGAAGTTCTGGATGGAGAATATTGACAAAAAGTTTTTTTTTTTATCTTAAATTCAAATTGTTTACATATTTTTTACAATCTTGGTATAATTCCTGCTCTAAGGCAGTTGATCTGTCAGCTAAAGGCACATATATACTCCAGTTAACAATTAATCAATTAATTAGTTGACAATTATTTAAATAATCTATCAATATGATTAACTGTTTCAGCCCTGGATAAAATACATGAAATGGGCTACACAGAGTAACTACAGCCCATATGTACTTGTATAGTTAATATTTTAAATGCTCAGTGTCAGTTCCTCTTATAGTTCCAGTGCAAATGTAAGTACAATAAATTTATTTGCCATACCTTGAATGTATTATCTTACATGATAGAGAGCATATTAGATAAAAAATAAGAGTGGGGTTTACCTCTGCACAATTCTATATCTTCAAAAGAAACCCGGATAAATCCACATATAACAGACATATTTAGACTATATTTGGTTAAATAGGCAGGTATTTATCTACTGTCTTATTCGCTGGTAAGTTTAAATGCTGGGAAAAAAACCCTAATTCCACATTCCTCAGAGCTAGTGATGCTTTAAACATTGATAAACAGCATCTAGTGTGTAGTGCTTATAAGATTTGTATTAATGTAGCAGAAATGCTGCTGTTCTCTTTAAACAAAATGTGCCCTGATGCTAAAATTAAGCATAAAAAGAGAGCATGCATATTTTTGCATAGGACCGATGACATCAGACCAATGAAACTGAAGACCAATAGTGTCCTCACCAAAGTTTAAATCAAACCTACGCCCTTGGTTTTGAGCAATCAATGAAACGGCAGAAACAGATTTGGTGAAGACTTTAATGAAGAAAACTTCTAAATGAACAAAGCATTCCTTGATACATAAGAACAGAATCACAAACAAACCTTTAGAGAGAACCAACTCAGAGCAAAAGCCTGTCAGGTTATCAGACATCAGCCAGGGGAATAGGTGATATGAGGTTCTTTTACATTACAGTATATAATTACAATGAATTATAGAATACTGGTAATTTCTCCAAATTTCTAAATATTTTCAGAAGCTGTTTTTGAAGTAACGAGGCCTTGATAAATCCCAATACATAAATGCCAAAACATCACCACAAAATAATGCAAATATCATCTTAGTAAAATGTTCCCAGGATGTTTTGCAGTTCATTGATCTATCATCAAGTCAGCACAGATGCTTATTTAACAAGAGGTATTCTGGGTAAAACTTACCTTAGTATAGCTAATTATTATCAACAGTTCTCTGCTGTCTTGTGGTGACCAGCGTGTTATCCAGCTCTACTGTACAATCAATATACAGTTTTACAAAGAAATACAAAATAAATGTGGTGCCTTTTCTTTTTTGGCTTATCAAATAGAAAATATATGTTCACAGATGAACTCCAGGAGAGCTGAAATAGATATCAGACTAAACCTTAGGAGCTTAGAAACTCAAAAACAATAAACCAAATTTTGCATTCCTGGTCTAAACACCACAGAGCCTATAGATAGTCTCTCCAAGGGTCAAGTAGGAATAATGGGAATGTCAGACAAATGAGTGGACAAGATGCAGGAGAATATTTGGGATAGTACTATGAAGGATGATCTAGCCTTTCGGAGCGGTGTATTGGCGCAGGAGAGAGGAAATAGCACTAGATTCGGTGACCTCTTCAGGAAGAGAGCCCTCCATGTCTTTGATGGATGGGTCAGCTCCGCTGTTGAGGAGGAGCTCTACGATATCAGCAAACTCGCAGGCTGACGCTGGGGAAACAGAGAAAAAGTATTAAAGCAGAGGAAAAAGAAACACAAAATAATCGAAAGACAATTGAAAGAGATTTTACATCATTTTCTCTTCTTTTTTAACAGAAATAGATGAATGTGTCCCTTTAAAGGAATGCCAAATTAATAAATCTTTTCCCGGCAGGAGTTGAAGCAACTTTCTCTTCTTACATCTTCAGCAGAATTATCTGGTGTCTGATAAGTAGAAAAATTCTGCAGTGGGAAACAATTATAAGGATTTTCATAGAGTGCTGCAGTTTAGTTTTTGAGAGTTGTAGAATATCCTGGCATTTGAGAAAAATAATACATTTCTTTGTTATCTCTTCATCTGTGGTTGAGTATAAAGTAACCTTGACTTTAGCTGCCCCCAAAGTTCTTAAGCTTTCTTTTAACCTTTTCTTTTATCTAATAAATGCAAGTCAATAATCATCTTAATTCTATTCTAGAAAAATACCCCAAAATACCCCCAAGATAATAACAGATCATTTTGTTATTTTTTTTTCTTTCTGTGCACCACCACAGATTTTCAGATGGTCATTTGCAATACTCTCAGAACATCTGGTAAAGGCAAATTAATTTGCCTTTACCAGATGTAACACCTTACATTAATAAGTTACTTTGCATATTGTTGTTATAAATAGAAATATATAAAAGTGATTTCATTTCGTAATCGTAATTTAAAAAAGGAATGAAATTACTAAAACAATGGGAATTTTTGCAGTGTCTCTTTATTGCAAACTTTTTCAGCGAGTAGTCAGCAAACAGTAGCTTAAATGCTTATATGGGGATGAATAGTCCTAAATAATTGACAGGGACCCACAGCATACTGATTTGGAAACTTTTTTACATAAAGGAAACTAGAGTCTAGACTATGCAGAGTCTTATTTTCCCATAATATTTACTACCATGTAAATTTAAAATGCCAATCAGGTTTAAAAAAAGCTTTCGAGTCCCATAGCAAACCCTTACATGTTTTCCTGTTAAAGTCTTACAGAACTATTTAGGCAACCATGTTCATTTAATGCATTAATCTAATAAATATACATTTCACCTTCATCGTGAAATGTACAAAGAAGCAGTCTGCATTTGTTGTTGCTATATAATATGCCCTGGAACAAGCTTCTACAACACCGAATTAGATTTTAGCGTGTAAAAGCAAAGTGCTGTGTTTATGAGGCAAGAGATAGTTTATCCCTTTACTTTGCCAGCTCATATCTCAGCTGGAAAGTCATTGGGATATATTAGCAGGAGTACTATTAACATGTAAGAGAAAACATATGCATTAGACTACTAACATTGTTAGTTTTTTTTTTTAGTACAAACATGAGTACTCAACACTGGTTTCAAACCCGATACCAGCATCTGTATCGATGCAACCCTAGTCAGAACATCATGTCTATCTCTAACTAGTTGAGACAAAGTACCTGTTGCAATCAAGAAATCAATGTTTTTAATTAAACTGAATCGGTTGAATGAGTACTGTAAGTACTCAGAAAGTAGTCTTGCTTTATTTCACTTTAAAGCTACTTTGTTTCATACCAATGGCACAGCCTTTATCAACTTTGATGCATTTTTGCACTTTGTGCTTTTCTATCGTGCATGAACGTTTGGTGGGAATGATGAAAACAAGAAACATATAAAGGGTCACTAAATCTGCCAGGGGTATAAACAATAATATAAGTAATAAAACAAGCATATTTAAACTGAATCTATATTGATCATAAAATGATCTTACTAACACCTAAACCAGATTTATGATTTTAATTTCAAATAATATTTGAAGAGACATTTAGTAAGTTTTTATAAAAAAAAAAATCATTGAACCTTTTTGACTAAAACATAATTTCATGAGCAGATTGACACTTCAGTAGGTCAGTGCAGATGCATCTGTAAGGCTTTAGACTATTTTCCCTCAAAGTACTTTGGATTGGAAGTTACAGTGCTTTCTTTTATTGTGTGTGTGTCCTGTTTTGCTAATATAGCTCTGGGAATCAATGCCCCAGAGCTGGATGATAGCCCAACACATTTGCTTTCACAAGCAGACCATTATAACTGTTGCCATAAGGTTGGTGCTTGGTACTTGTGTATGAAATATTTTTGAAAACAATTTAGGGAGAAAATAGTATTCAATGGACATAGAGACGGCAAGGGAGGTGAGAAAGAAAGAGGGGATGAGAACTAAGGGGGGGGGGAGATAGAGAAAGATAGAGACAGTAAAGGGTGCATGAAACGAGAAAATAAAACAAAACAGCAAAAATAGACAAGACAGAAGATTTACAGTAACTCCAAGACAATCAAAGTAAACATAAAAAAAATGCAGGGGATTTCCCTTACATAAATTCACGTGTGGAAGGCAAATCCTGTGGTAATTACACAATATTCTTTAGGCTAGTATATATCTGTAGCTGCAGTTTAATATTAAGCATTAGTGTGTAGTTGTGAACACATGGAACAAATGTTATTGTATGTATGCATGGTCATGCTCATGTATAAAGGATTTACAAAGGTTCTTCAGAAGGAAAATATACTCAATAGGGATAAAGAGGTTATCCTGGCCCCAGTTATTCAAAGGCACCCCAGATCACTGGGAAACAAGAAAGGCAGACAAAGGCATAGCAACCATCCACTGGAGAAGGGCAGACGAGATCACCCGGAGCTCAATGGTCTCAGGCCCTGAAGGGCCCGAGCCCAGAGGCTGCGCAGTTTCTGAAGACTTGACGTCAAGTGCATCTATGTTAAATGAGTCCTATCTAGCAAAAAATTGAAGCATTATATTAAAGATTGATTTTATGGATTCTCAAAAGTAACCAGCATCTAGCTCAACTCAAACATCTATGGCAACTCCACATGAGGAGAAAAAAGTAAAACAAAAAACCTTGTCAAATACGAGCACGAGCTATGAGGTCGAGCAGAAGAGAGCTGCAGTTCTGTGTTTTGGCCACAGATGGCAGCATCATTACAAAACTCTGTAATGCCTCTTTAATTAGGTATATTTTGTTACATTTTAACACTGCTAAATGATATGCTTATTCTAAACTAGTGGTGATAGTAACCTGCTTTAAGTATATTTTGTAAATAAATTGCACTTTCCATGCTTTTTTTTTTAGTACATGCAATAAGTGAGCATGTTTCAGGTGATGTACAAAGTTTGCTGTGCAATAGTTAACACATACAAACCATTTGGTTAAAAATTAACATTACTTGACAGCAAAATATCTCTTCATTGCTTAGTCGTGTACCAATGCCTCCTTTGTAGCAGCAATGATCGCAGATTACATCTGAGTTTCAGAAGTACAAAAAATTATGCAAAAATTTTGAAAAAAGATGAATCTCAGATCTGTAGACTCATTTTGCACATGGTAAATGTTTGCAATTGTGTGGTTTCATCATTAGAACATGGTCTGCATATTGATGAAGTAAAGCACCAAACACGGTTTGCACACGTCTGCTTATTTGCAAACACGAGTAAATACATCTTTTTTAAAGATCTACTCTCTGCGTACAACATATTTGCACATGCTTTAGCACATGCAAGCCTTTTGAAGATCATGCCATGTATATATATATATATATATATATATATATATATATATATATATATATATATATATATATATATATATATATATATATATATATATATATATATATATATATATATACAGGTGCTGGTCATAAAATTAGAATATCATGAAAAAGTAGATTGATTTCAGTAATTCCATTTAAAAAGTGAAACTTGTATATTATATTCATACATTACATACAAACTCATATATTTCAGATGTTTATTTTGTTTAATTTTGATGATTACAAATGACAACAAATGAAAATCTCAAATTCATCATATCAGAAAATTAGAATATTGTGAAAAGGTTCAAAATTGATGGCCCCTGGTGCCACACTCTAATCAGCTAATTAACTCAAACCACCTGCAAAAGCCTTTAAATGGTCTTTCAGTCTAGTTCTATAGGCTACACAATCATGGGGAAGACTGCTGACTTGACAGTTGTCCAAAAGACGACCATCGACACCTTGCACAAGGAGGGCAAGACACAAAAGGTCATCGCTAAAGAGGCTGGCTGTTCACAGAGCTCAGTGTCCAAGCACATTAATAGAGAGGCGAAGGGAAGGAAAAGATGTGGTCGAAAAAAGTGTACAAGCAAGAGAGATAACCGCACCCTGGAGAGGATTGTGAAACAAAACCCATTCAAAAATGTGGGGGAGATTCACAAAGAGTGGACTGCAGCTGGAGTGAGTGCTTCAAGAACCACCACACACAGACGTATGAAAGACATGGGTTTCTGCTGTCGCATTCCTTGTGTCAAGCTACTCTTGAACCACAGACAGCGTCAGAAGCGTCTTGCCTGGGCTAAAGAGAAACAGGACTGGACTGCTGGTGAGTGGTCCAAAGTCATGTTCTCTGATGAAAGTAAATTTTGCATTTCCTTTGGAAATCAAGGTCCCAGAGTCTGGAGGAAAAGAAGAGAGGCACTTCATCCACGTTGCTTGAAGTCCAGTGTAAAGTTTCCACAGTCAGTGATGGTTTGGGTGTTGGTCCATTGTGTTTTCTGAGGTCCAGGGTCAACGCAGCCACATACCAGGAAGTTTTAGAGCACTTCATGCTTCCTGCAGCTGACCAACTTTTTGGAGATGCAGATTTCATTTTCCAACAGGACTTGGCACCTGCACACAGTGCCAAAGCTACCAGTACCTGGTTGAAGGACCATGGTATCCCTGTTCTTAATTGGCCAGCAAACTCTCCTGACCTTAACCCCATAGAAAATCTATGGGGTATTGTGAAGAAGAAGATGCAATACACCAGACCCAACAATTCAGAAGAGCTAAAAGCCACTATTAGAGCAACCTGGGCTATCATAACACCTGAGCAGTGCCACAGACTGATCGACTCCATGCCACGCCGCATTGCTGCAGTAATACAGGCCAAAGGAGGCCCAACTAAATACTGAGTGCTGTACATGCTCATACTTTTCATGTTCATACTTTTCAGTTGGCCAACATTTCTATAAATCCTTTGTTTTTATTGGTCTTCAGTAATATTCTAATTTTCTGATATGATGAATTTGAGATTTTCATTTGTTGTCATTTGTAATCATCAAAATTAAACAAAATAAACATCTGAAATATATGAGTTTGTATGTAATGTATGAATATAATATACAAGTTTCACTTTTTAAATGGAATTACTGAAATCAATCTACTTTTTCATGATATTCTAATTTTATGACCAGCACCTGTATAGTTGTGCAGTTAATAAAAAGCCTATCTGAAGACCCTGCAATGACACTTGCCTGGACCTGAGCTTCCTTCAAACACTTCATTTCTGCCCCATTGGCAATTTGTGGTCCGCTAAAAGGGTCTTCTCTCTCTCTTTCTCTCTCTCTCTCTCAATGCAGAATAAAGGGGAGAAGGGACAGCTTGCACTTTCTTAACCAAGTTAGTGAGTACCTTCATTCTTGATGCACCTCTATACCCTGTGGCACCCCCGCCCCACCACCTCATCTCCTCTCTTGTTGTGAGTGCTCTTCCCTGTCAGTATCAATCGCAGGCACCTTTTAAAAAGCAGACTTTGTGCTGTGCAACGTTCGCTGATGTCAGCAGCTGCAGTGATTGACAGCCGGGCCTTTCAACCTGCAACCCGGAGGTGGCTGACAGGCCTAGATGCTGGTGTGAGTCCAAATGCACGAGATGTGATGATACATCGGAATGCATGTGGGCGTGTAAGCAAATGTGATTGCGTGCTCGACTCGCATATATGAAAAAAGGCGGTGTGTGAAGTGTTAAAAGACCCAGGAATCAGCCAAACCAGACTAATAAAGCTTTGGCTTTTTTTCAGCTATGTTTGCAGCCCTCCTCCTGTTGCTCTGAACAGTATTTTATTTAGCCTGCCGAATGTGCGCGTGGCGGGTGTCTCTGCTGATCCTTGAGCTGTAAAAAGTGGCCAGCTCTCAGGGGAGCAGTAGAGGAGGAGAACAATTTATGGTGAGCAGTAAACCCTCAATTAATCACTTGCCAGCCACTGTGGCCCTGTGCAAAGAGAGGTAGGAATGAATTTTCATTCTCTGCTATTTGTCTCTTTGAGTTCATCGCTTATGTTTATTAGTCATCTTTTTATATCATATCCTCGGGGCTGCTCTGATGAGTCCATGTACATGTGTATGTGTGTGTGTGTGTGCAGCTCGCAGGTTGGTGATGCAACATGCCCACTCCAACGCCACCAAGCTGGAGGACAGATGGTGCAGCAGCACATACACACATATGCTCATAAAGAGGCTCAGAGGACGTGAGCACCGCCCATCGGGGACACGTGTGTTGGGGCATCAGAGGGTCAGGGGAGTCTAAGGACCACTGCTGATTTCCTCTGGGAGGTCTGGCGATTATTACAGGCACACATAAAGGATACACACACACACACACAAGATATATACACATAGACATACATACCAAAGGACACACGCACCAAGGGAAAAAGAAACAGAAAGGAAGCATGGAGACTTAGTGGGAAAAAAAGGAAAATTAAGATGAGGAATGGAGCAGAGAGTTGGAGCAAAATATGATAAATCTGTGACAAATCCAGGCAAAGAGTGGGTGTGTGCTGAAAACTAGGTGCTGTACATAAAGGGCGGACATATGCAGACAACATAATCATGACAATGTAGGGTTTTTCCAACTGCTAAGATGAACACAAGGGGCCTCCTTACCATAATGTAGTGCTGTCTGCCCTTCATTATCCTGAAAAAGGCAAAACAAGTGTTTACTTCATCAGACCCATGACAGAGAAGCAATAAAATACCTCAGAGTGAGCAAATTCAGAGAATAATCAGGGAAAGATGTCAATGCTGCAAATTTGCATCACATATTGTAAAAAAGAGTTTTGAGCAGCCAATGTCTGTTCAGATTTTGGGTTTCATAGGGCACGTCCCTAGTTTTTCTTTGGAGCCAAAGCTTAAAAAAACTTTTTGCAGACAGGTATCCAAGTATACATGTATGCTCCTAAGAGCCTGGAGGATATACCGGTACTGGCCATTATTGCTCGTTACACTTTCTCCTGCTATTCTCCATTTATTCTTTACAACTGCCATCAACATCAAATCTACACTTTGTTTTAATTACACATAGAGAGACGTCCAACTACTATCCTTAGGGGTCAGCGCCCTGATGTTTTAGACATGTTTCTGCATGAACAACTCCTCAGCATGTCATCAAGTTCTGCATAGTTCAGGGTTTGAACCAAATGTTCAATTCAACTATGTTGAACCACGAAAAGAAATCTATATGCAGGAGGCCCTTGAGAATTGACTTATAACACCAGTTCAATAGAAAGTGATCCTGTCTCAATGCTTCTACATTTAGCTAAAAGGTGGGCATCTTAATCTTTCTAGTGCGAATTCCTTGACCATTAATGTTGTGTATGGCTGGGTGACATCTATTCAATATATTGCGCTTTGTGCCACCTAATGTTTAGAATTACAATATCATAACTATTTGAATATTAATTTGTAATTAATTATTTTTTTTTTGTTTTTACTACACTATTGGCTCGCTTTTCTGACAATAGGCTAACAGGAAAGGGTATATGAGAGAGGGGGAGAGACATGCGCCAAAGGACCACAGGTCAGATTCGAACCTGGGTCAGCTGCGTCGAGGACTAAGGCCTCTGTACCGTGGTTGTGCGCGCTAACCGCTGCGACACCTACACGCCCTTCCCTAGCTCAATCAAATTTTTCCCTTAAGTATCAGATTTTTGATCAAAAGAGAGACAACTTATTTGTAAATCAGAACCACAGGCACTTGTAGTCTCTACTCAGCTTGGATAAGAGATTTCAGCTTCTGTCTTTAAGCAGGTGCTTAGGTAAAAGGAAAACTCATGAAGTGTGATAAGAATGACAAACTATTTACTTGTTCAAGGGCTTTCATTATAAACATGGTAATGCTTTTTTTAGCTGATCACTGAGTCATCTTAAACAGTTGTTATGCAGCACATTGTACTTAGCTATATTAGTCAACTGTTTTCAATTTTTTTAAGTTTTTAATCTGTATCTTTGTTTTGTCCTTTTCAATCCCATATAAACATTAAAAAGGTAGCTATATAATGCATGATTTTATTAATATTTAAAGTTTATGAAAGTTTTCCAAAGAGATTGTTCTGTAATTATTTTAAAATATATATTATTTTTAAAGTTTAGCTTGAAATAAGTGCTTTCTTTGGACATCTCAGGCACTTTTAGAACAAAAACAATGACTTCATACTATTATTCTTTATTAATCTAAGCTAGTGTAGTCATAAATAAATGTTAAAAAATAAAAATGGCTTGACAATGGAGCCCTGAGGTACCCCACAGTTATGATCCGTTTTAAAATGACCAAATAACACATAGTTGCCGGTTTAGATAGAGATATGAGGAAAGGTTAGAACATCCTACCACCAACTGCTATGGTACATCGTTTCAGGGATGGGCAGTGTAGCAATTTTTCAGCATTCCCAAACCATGGTAGTTAAAGCTCAGTGCTGCCCAGTTGGTATGTGATTTACCACGATGCTGTATTAAGCTCATCCCAAAAATGTCCTCATGTACGATTAATTTTATTTTGGAATCATTTATCCAAACCGTTCTAGAAGTCTCTTTATGTTCTCTTTGGTAAACGATAGGACAGACTGCTTTTCTTTTTCTTAGGAGGAAAGTTTCCTCCTTGCTTGTCAAATGGATAGAATACAGCAGAGTCTTGACACTCATAGGTTCTGTGATAACATGTTATAGTTTATAGGAGACCACTTTTAGTATTTTGCAATCCATTTTCAGGTAGAACTTGCTTGGTCAGCTACTTCTGGGAATACAGGCAGTTTTCCGGCATGTTCTCCAAATGAACATATGTCCTGTACAGTTGATAAGTGGCTTTTTATATATTATTTTAAGACCCCTTTTAATTCCTTGATATAAAACTTGATATTTTCTTTTCACTCTTAGTTTAACAGTCAGGAGAACACCAAATGTTTTCATGTTGAGAGATTGAAAACCTCTCTTTTCACATAATGTTCCTACCCCTTTTCTTTAATTTTACCATCCTCCTTTCTCAACCTCTATAGTTCAATCTCCTCTTCAGTTTCATGTCCTTTACCCCTCTTTTCCACTTGCCTTCTCCAAATGAGACTCAGTGCATAGTGATCCTATTGTTGTGTTCCTCCTCGTCTCTGAGGGACAGCACTTTGGGGACCTGCTGATTGGATTAGAGCTTGGTATTCCCTCTGAGGGGATTTAAAAAAACACAGATGTGAATCGCCACCAGTGGAAAGCAGCGCTGTAGTTTAAGTAAACCAACAATGCTGTCTGTCTGCAAGTAAAAAAAAAAAATCCCAACTTAAAGATGTGCATAAACTATCCCTTTTCCCAAATGTTATGATAAATTCAAAGCAGGGTGGCAGACTGGAGAAACGTGTCTTAAACCCACTGAATGTGATAAATATAAATGGCATGGGAATCCGGTAAAATAAACAAAAAAATAAGCTGGAATATTCTTTGCCTTAGTCCGTGTTAAACTAAAGAGAAAACAGTGAGACAGCTGGGGGGTAGTAAAAGGTGGTGTTTTTAAAAACAGAATCAGTGCTCCTTTGACAGCTTTTATAAACAATGAAAAAAATATAATTGAAGAATTGTGTGCATGTTTGAGAAGGACTTTAGTAAATGTTAAGCATTGTAGAGTGCAGCCTAAAGCCTACTTGCATGCCTGTGAGGGTCATTCTCAACAAACCCTAATGCCCCTGGATCCAGGACGGAAGCTTGATGGAATCACAGGAAATTGGATTGTCTTCAATTTGCTTTGGAAGCAGACACTCCCCCTCCAACTCCCTTACCTGCAGTCAACATCCCCCATCTCTCGCTCTCCTGTCTCCAGTGCACCCCTGTTCCCATCCCATTACAGAGGCATGCTGCACCAAACCTCTGCTTTTACATGTCATCCAAAGTTTCCCCTTGCAAAGCAGAAATGCCAGGGTGGATGTCAGCAGAGAGCTCAATAAAGTAAAAAAAGTGGCAGAGGAGACTCAGCTCAGAGTGGTAGTGTATTGCCCTGACAGGGAGGGAGGGGGCAGGAGCAATATGCTTAGAAGCTGCATGGATCTATCAGTGTGATTACAGTTTTGCTGAATTCAGGTCCCACTAATCTATCATTTCTACCACACAAATGATGTGAAGCAAGATGAATGTAAGGAAAAGAAAGTGAATTAGTAGGATAGAAAGAAAAGGCACGCAGTCTTGTTTCTGAACAGATAAGAAGGGAAACACTTGAACTAAAGTTCAAAGTTGTTTGAAGAAAAGTGAGCAATAAGGAATCCAAATAATAATTTCAAGCTCAGTGAGATTTCTGAAAGACAGTTAATAAAATACCAAAATGTTTTTCTTTTCTTTTTTTTTTCAAATTACTTAAGAGATAAGATAAGATGGACTTTATTGATCTGACAGTGGAGAAATTCACTTGTCACATCAGCTCAATAGTAAAAAGAAGGTGCCAAAAGAAGGAAAAACTTTATTGGTAAATGGTATGTACTTATATAGCGCCTTTATTCAAGTCAGGAGACTTGTACTGCCGTACACTGCCACCACCGGGCCCTCTGACCACCATAAGCAGGTGAAGTGTCTTGCCCAAGGACACAACGACACTGAAAGTCGGAGTCGGGGCTTGAACCGTCAACCCTTCGATTTCAGGGCAAACTCCTACATCCAACGCCACTGTTTATTTACAATTTTAGATTCTCAGATTAGTTGAAATACAGACAAGCTATCCTGTGTAATATCTCTGAGAATCAGGTCAGCACAAATATGTTTGTTTATTGTTTAGGTAAAGTTTATATTTCTTATCCAAACACACAAGCACTACACGAAGGAGGGCTTTACCAAAGATGACAAAATCAAACGTTACACAAAATATGCTTTATTTCTGTATGTTAAGACCAAATCAGACTTTATAGATAGAAACATGAAATCATGGACAATAAAAAGTTGTTCTTTTTTTGTTAATTGTTTTCTTCTGAAATAAGCATATATTTAGCACAAAAAAACTAATAAAACCATGGTGGGCACAAAATGTAGTTAAAAAGCCTTCAGCCCATCAAAAATGCTGCAGCCAGAATTCTGATGAAAATTTAAAACAAAAATCATAGTTCTCATTTTAAGATCCCCTTCAGTGCCCCCCTGTTACATCCAGAATATAATTTTTTTTATTATTTATTCGTATAAAGCCCCAAATAATCAAACTCTATCCTATACCAGAGATATGATGTTCTTCAGGTTCCTAATCAATCATGTTTACTACTGGTTCAAAGGATTTTAATAAGTACATTGGGAGGCAGATCTTTCAGTGAACAGGCTCCTCATCTGTGAAACCAACTTTCAGTTTTAATCTGTGATATAGACACCCTGTCTACTTTTAAGACTAAACTTACAACTTTTCTTTTTGTTAAAGATTATCATTAAAATGGCTTAGGCTATTGTAAGCTATATGTGCTTAGGCTGCTGGGGGACATCGGGAACACTTTTCATCATTCTGATTCATTCTTCTCCTGTTCTCATTTTTTGGGGTTCTCTCTGCTTTCTCATGTCATAGTTGTTACATTTGGCCTCGCGCTCTGTTTAGCTGTGACAACATTTCAGAAGGAGGCATAGGTAAGGTGCCGTCATCAACAACGTTAATACTGATGATGGAGTTGGGTGTGTTTTTCAGTGCTTAGTCATGTTTCT